GGGGGGGGAGTCAAGCCCAGCATTACGTAACAAATCCGAGTCGGGAGAAAAAAATGTGCACAAAAGTAAAAATCCCGCCCTTCCCGAGTGAGTCCGTAATTTTTTGAAAATTAAGGGGGTTGGGGTCAGGCCAGCGTTACATAATTCAGAATGTGGGTTGTAGGACTGCGTTACGGGTGCATACATGGTAGGAGGGGGGGGGTAAAATCGGGGAAAATCGTTACGTAATACTTGAACGGTCCCTCAGTCACTTTTTCGAAATTTCAGGAAGCTCTACGAAAAACTGGGATTTTTATTTTTTTAATTACACATTTAATCCAAAACTTGTCCTTATCTCAGGACCAATGTGATTAAACCTATTTATACATAGCAAGAATACTGGACAAATAACAGTGACGAGGCGTGAGTGATCGTGTTTCGATATTTCCCCATTTGAAGCTATAATAAAGAATCGATTATCAAGGTGTTCGTTGCGAACACACTCTTTATCGATCCTCTTTCATAGTTTTAAACGGCAGATTGATCGATATACCGCAAAGCACGCCACTTCAACGTCACTGACGAATACGATTTGACTGATACTCTCCGCAAACCTAGAGCAAATAAAACGTGCCCCGAAAGCGTCAGAGCAAACTGATTCATCCTGTAAATAATTTGGATGGAAGTTACTAGGCTTAGGAACCTTGAAAGATAAGCCTGGCTGACTCAGGATCCTCATTTAAATTCAGATCATCTTCCGCCAAGTGAAGCTGACAATGAATAAAAAAAGCTTTCATTGAAAAAACTGAGCGAGAGTTTTTAAAATTCACTGATCTGAAAACTAATTTACATTTTTACATAGAGTCTCAAGCATGGTAGGAATCATGATTTTTTTTTTTTTTTTTTTTTTTTTTTTTGGAGGGCAACAGAAATAAGACGCCCTACCAAAGGAGGTTTTTAGGAGACTCTCCCGGCTCCTGGGAGGCTCCGGTAGGCCCAGAGGAAAATATTCAAAAAATAAGAGCACTTTGTTGAAATTTTGAGTTAAAATCTTGTATAGTCAATTTTTTATAAATTTTTTGTATGGGATTTTCATTTTAATAGTTGTACTACAGAGGAGGGTTAAGGATTATGAGATTTTTTCGGCATTCAAGTCCTTCTTTAATAAGCCGAAGAATTAATTACAATAATTTATGGTTCGCGCTAAATGCACTTCAATTTCTTATTTTGCGAATTCGTAAAAATATTTTGGCCTCTATTGATTTCTCTAATTTTTCTTCCACCCCCTAGGATTCTTTATAAAGTACAATTTTCTTTTTACATACACGAAATTCCATGCATAAGTCGCCAAATGCCGATTTGTCGTCGAATAAGAAATTTTCGAAATTTGACTCATTCTGTGATTATTTTAGAACTAATAAGTATTGTTTGATCATACGCACGATTTTTTAAAATTATCCGTGTATCTCATCTATTACGGACTACGGAGTTACGCTTTGTATTTTAATTAATTTAAATGCGGGAAGAACATTTTTGTATGAGATCTGGTTAATCCTGTGGGTAGTTATTTGAGAGTAACATCAGGGGCTTAAAAACCCCTACAGTATGAATCTATCGGCAGTAAAATTAGAATTAGAGAATGAACTTACTGTTAGCGTATGTTTAAATATGATGTAAGGCAAGACTGCTTCTCATTGTCAGACCGTTTGCAGAGCCTTCGAACAGCAAGATAGGCAACATTACCTACACGACGAGCAATGAGTTACCAATTCATTTGAAGGCGTTTTTCAGGCGATCTCATAAATGAGAACGCATCCTAGTGAGAGAGAGCAACGGGATGGTTACATCAAAAGGGTACAATGAATGATAGAATGAAACTGCATTTGGATCCAAAAAATGTTTTAGGGCCTTTTTTTGTAGAAAAAAATGTCAATAAATGTTGAACCGAAAAGGAGCTCTGGCAAAATGAAGTTAGCAGTCGAAAAAAGTAATTTTGACAGTAAGTTATCCGAAATTCTAATATGCAATGTTTCTAATAGGGCATAGAATCTTAGGATTCAACTCCACATCTATTTTTGGCACAAAATTAAATTAAGCCAGACACAGTTCACTCTTAAAGACTTTTCATAAAGTTTTCCGAGCGGAAACCTCATAATTTGATCCCTCGATCCAACGCGTCAAAAACAATTCTCCCTAAATTCTAACCTAAACTATTTTGCTTCCACGGAGTAGGCTCTTGAATGGTCAACATTAATGCGTAAGAGCATAGATGTATGAACAACTTCTTCATTAAACTTTAAATTCATAAATGTAATTATAATTTTGGAAACCATCGGTTTAGCTTGACTTAAAATATTAATAAAGTAAAAATAAAGATCAATAATATGCACAAAATATAAATTCTATGACATTAAACTTAATAAATTTATTATTATATAATTTTTACCATTATCATAACAACTAAAGGAGGTTTCCGAGGAAAATTTCACATAATTTTGTTCTCCGTGATATCCTTCATTAAGAGTGACTTCTCCTTTACCAATTTATAAAATTTATGCTTTTAGTTCCTGGGAAAATGGTACGTCATCCAAAAAACTTCAACCGGCAGTCGTTGCGTCATTTACAACTTTACCAACACCAATGAGCCTGACCATTACCAAATCGAACAAATTAGCGAACACCCTGTTTTGGGATTGGCCAGCGTAGACAACAACTACCACTACTCTGGCAAACTGTCCGTCAACGACCCTGATACGCCAGCAAAAATGACAGTTCGCTTCCCACTCAGTAAGTACAGTAAACGAAATGAAGAAATGTTTTCAAGAAAAGATTATGACTTCATAATCATTAGGATCCTGGTTGAAATAGCAATATTGATATGGAGGCCCGAAACAGACGTCACAACTAGCGAAACTTTTTAAGGATCCATGCAATAACGACACTTCTAAATATTTATTGCTTCTGTTACATTTGCGTAATGTAGGTACTCAAATTAAATTAGGAAAAAGAAAAAAATGTGACACTCGAAAGTTTAAGATGGAAGTCAAATGTCGCAGACGGGATAAGCAATGAAACTCGTGACGATATGAGCATGGAGACAAATGGACTGCATTTTGCAATTTGAAACTATACATTCTGGCTCATCTGAAAAAACACTTATGTGCATAGGGAAACTAATGGCACATACTTTGTTTTTAAACCGGGCTAGAATTTATAGTTCCAAATTGCAAAATGTAGTCCAAATATCTTAGACGTGACTACCACCTTCCATGCAGGAGTTAGCGCCTTAATGCAACTATTCATGATCAAGGGATGTTCGTGTTGCATGCACATAAAATGAAGGCTCCCTGAATTCCTTTAGGCCTTTGCACGATTAAAATAATGAATTCGTGTCTCCCTATATTGAATATCTGAGTATTACCGATGTTAATTTTGCAAGTCTGTTGGCAATTATGGGATTAGAAAGCATCGAACGTTACTGACCTGTCCGCTTTTTCCTTTTTTCTGTGTTAAAAAGGTGACTTCTCTCTCGAAGTCTGCTGCTCATTATATTTGGACTCCAGCATGCAATAAAAACTGATATTTGTTTCTTATTTCAGAAACAACGCGGATACCATTAGTTTTTCCATGAAGATAGGTAGTTTTATGGACGAGAATGATTCAGTAGCTCCTCATGGCGCACTAAGTTCATTCGCATTTACGAAAAACTCGTTGAGGAAGGAAAAATATTTGAATGTCTATTGTGGAATACGAATGTAAACATTTTTCAGAATTGATATGGCTTATGATATTTCTATAAATTAATAATTTTTTTGCCTTATTATAGGTGTTGCTGGAAGCGCTGCATACACTGTTTTTTCAACTGATTATGATAAGTACGGTGCCATTTTCACGTGCCAGAAGTTAGCCTTTGCCAACCGCTTATCAGCTACCATCTTGTCTCGAACCAAAACTCTCGACAAAATTTACGTTGATAAGGTAAGTAAGCATGGCCGGATTCACCTACTTGCCGCCCATGGGCCGCCTGTATTTTGCCGCTCCCTTCTCATTCGTTTTGAAACTCGATAAAAACCATCAAATGAGCCTGTCAGCGGGGGAGGGAAGCATAAGACGCATTTACTCGTGTTGAACACATTTTTTGGGAAAGCCCTGTCAACACTACTAGCAAAAGTTCACGGAACTTTGCGCGAAAGTTAAGTTCCGTAAACCTATCTCTGTGTGGACAAGGCCTTCCATTCATAAGAGCGAAAAAATTATGAAAGAACAAACATAAATGTGCATCAATAATTTTAACTTCCGCCGCCGCGCTGCGCAGACCGCACCGTGTTTGGCGCAATGCGAGAAGTATTCCGACAGTCTTGTAGGCGCTTTTCGTTTCACGCTGACCGCAATGACCGCACTGTGTTTGATGCAATGCGTGAAGTATTCGTGCAGTCTTGTAGGCGCTTTTCGTTTCACGCTGACCGCAATGACCGCACTGTGTTTGATGCAATGCGTGAAGTATTCGTGCAGTCTTGTAGGCGCTAATATGTGTTACATGCCGATCGCCGCGCCGACGGCTTCTCCTTTTCATCTCAAGTCCTCGTTATCATTTCTCTCTAAGTCGCGCGGTTCCAGGCCATATTGCGTGTTTGGTCTCTCTTTTAACTCGACTTATTGAAGGTGCTGTTTCTTGTATCACTAAGAGACGAAAAAATTAGAAATTACTCTTCTTTCAGGAAATGAGAGATTTTGTCGCCTTTTCTCGTTTGTAATATTGTTTTTATAAATCCGATTTTTTTTTATACCTACACTTTAAACAATTGCAAATTTTTGCCGCCCCTTAGATTTGCCGCCATGGGCCGCGGCCCATGTGGCTACCCCCTTAATCCGGCCCTGTAAGTAAGATGTTTAAACTTGCACTGATGCATACTTATAGAACTAACCTAGATTGCAAAATTAATTTTGCATGAATGAATGGTACTTACAATTAGTAGGATCTTTATGCGGAGGAGTCAAATGCCACTTATTCAACTCTTGGATAAAGATGCATGAGGAATTCCATGGGAACCCATTGGATTCCATAGGATGGGAAAATACACACCCATGGGTGTCATTTTTCTCAAATTTTGAGATCGCAAATCTGTTGTCAGGGTACTAAAAAATTCACTTAACAATTTTGACCAAAAAAAATCAACGTAATAAAGGCGTGGTTCTTCAAGAGGAAAAATATTGCATTCGATACTGATATCGAAACTGCACTCGAATGCCATAGTTTTCCTCTAAAAAACCACGCCTTTATTACTTTGAATTTGTTTGTCAAAATTGGTAAGTGAATTGTTTAGTCTCCTGACAACTGAACTGCGATCTCAAAATTCGAGAAAAATGACGAGTTGCTGAAAAAATGGAACAATCGATGATATATGTAGCATGCCGTTATGTCACAAAATATGGCGTTCATCGAATCATAGAGAGTAACGGTGCTGTTAAATCGTAAGAGTCGCCACACAGTACACCCAATTTTCTCTTTCCTTTGACGAATGCACATCCCTTGTTTCAGATCCGCTCGAAGCTGAGCGCGGCCGGCGTGAACCCTTACGACCTGAGCGTGATCGACCACTCGAACTGCGAGAAGAAGGACGGCGTGAACATCAACATCAACGACGAGACGTTCAGCCCCTCGAGCATCGGTGGAGCCGTCAAGAAGGTCGGTCAGAAGATCGGCGAGGGCTTCGACAAGGGAGTCGAGGGTGCCAAGAAGCTCTACCACTCCATCAGCCACGACTCTAAGGATGATGACTCCAAGGAGAGTCGTAGGGAGGAGCTCATGAAGCCTACTTACAATGCCGATGCTGAATGGCTTCCTTGAATTCCCTTAATTTCCTTAATTCCGAAGTTCGGGGTTGACTATTTCAAGCTTATAAAGCCAACTAACAAGTTACAATGCCGATGCTGTATGGCTCCCTGAATTCCCTTAATTTTCTTAATTCCGAAGGGTTGGTTGACTATTTCCAGCTTATAAAGTCAACTTAAAATACCGATGCTGAATGGCTTCCTCGAATTCCCTTAATTTCCTCAATTTCCTCAAATTCGTTAATATCCTCGATTCCGACGTTCGGGGTTGACTATTTCAAGCCATTGGCGGATACAGCAATTTGGCAAAATCGTTTTCTCTCCATTTAAACCAATGGAAATGTATCGATTCTTGGTGGGGCCTGTGCTCTGATCAGAATCGATTATTTAACATAGGTTTAAATGGAGGAAATCTGATGTTGTCAAATTGCTGAATCCGCCTCTATTTCCAGCTTTCCGGTTGTGTTACGTTTTACGCCTCTAGGAGTTGTCGAAGGTTCATTTAAAAAAAGGGTTAGAAACGTTTTACCTACATTTGAGAAAACACATTTTCCTTTAATTTATTGGAAATTTTGGTTTAGAATCGAATTTTTTTGGTCCAGGCCAACTGTCAGCAAATTCTTATCGCGATGTCAAATTGCTTTGCGAGCGCTTGCTCTTATAGAGTTGAGCCATAGCGCAGCCATATAATCTTTTTTCTATGTTTCTGTGATCACAATGTTTATACTCATTATACGGTTTTTCACTCTCATTGTTCCTGCGTTTGTTTACATTTTACATTTTTATATTTTTTGTTCGGATTTTCACATTCGCTTATTTTCTGTGGTCGTTTAGTGAGAATAAACTTCATTGAAACAGATGCGTCGATTTATACTTTCAAAACAATCTGATAGCAGTTCACCTTTCTATGACCAAATAAGATAGAGAAAAAAGTTCAAGGCAAATCAACTTTTTTACCAAATAATGAAGGAATTGTAACAACTCAAAACTGGGTGTAATGTTTTACTTTATGCACATAATTACAATTTACAAATTAAAATAATCACGCTTAGTATATTTAGGCACATTCTTAGAATGAGTTATTAAAAGGCGTGCAATCATAACTTACGGAATAAAGTAATTCTACAAACAGGCAAATAAAGTACCCATGAATGCACGGCACAAAATTAGGTGGGGTATGGGTCCTATTAAACTATACATATTTTAAATTCTAGTCTTATTGAAACGAATAATTGTAAAACATCTTTCTTTGGCTTTATTCTCAAAATTAAATTTAAGTACAATGTATTTATATTATAATGAATGAGGACATCCTAAAAAGAACAGGCGCCGGTAAAGGCCTTTTTCAGCCCTTAAATTATTGAAAAAGTGTAAAGTGCTCTAAAAAGGCTCCATTTTGGAAATCATATGTTTGAATAACTGTATTTTAGGACCTCGAGTTCGTTTTGAAATTATGCAGCGCATAATAAAGTGGGTTTCGATGTTGTCTGTCTGTCGATGTCTTACATAGAAAATCTTGCCTAGCACTTTAAAAGGAGCAAAAAACAATTTATATGGGCACCTCTAATTTCGTCACAAGAGCTATTTTCAAATGATTATTTACCGAGTCAACATAAAATTTGGATTTTAACAAAATATAAATTGCGTAAAACGTTTTTAACGTCAAGAGATCCCTGTTACATGATTATTTTTTCACTTTAAAGGTAAAAATAGTATGTTTGTACAAATTATACTATTTAACAAATATAATACATCATACATTCCACGTAATGAGTAGTTAAGTAGACTTCCAGTTGAAGAGAGAAACAACTCGCCACTGAAATTGACCAACTCTTTTACCGTATCTATTGATACATTTACATCATGGCATTTTCCATTTTTCATGATTCTTGTTCCACCTGCGACGCGCTTATTGAAATATGCCGTAGGTGAAATGATATAAATTCATGCATAGACTTAATCGTAATATTCACGATCTACATTTTAAGTTTGACACGAATATACTGACTGAGAAAAATATAGGTCAAGGGTACAGTAACAGTAGGTTACCCTATTAGCACAAGTTTCCCACAGGTTGCAATATTGCAATTACATGGAAAAATTATTGTTGCTATTGTGCCGGAGTGTTGTGAATTTTGTCTATTCACTAATTGAAGGGGCTTCTCTCATTGAGATTTATCGCAATGAATTTAAAATAAATCGCGATGTTTCTTGCATTGCAAATCGCCTACTCTCCTCACACATGCACTAATTTTTTTGAGCGTTTAATTGGCATTTATTGACTAAATTATGTGAAAATATTGCAATTTTACTGCATGAAATTGCAAAATCATTTCAATATTTTTGTTTCTTTGTGCTACTCTACCACTAATGAGTTTCATAACATGGGTTTATTAAGCACCCATGAATCATAATTTTATGTAACGCCTTTTCTTTTGAAGTTGTAAAGTCTGCTAAATAACTTCCTCAAACCGACCAAAGTGCGATTTATGTTTGAACAGATTTTTGATAAAGTCTTGAAAAATATTAGTCAGAAAGTTGACGGTGATTTCCCTCTTCGGTATGTGAACCGGATACTTCGAAACTGCAGAGAATGTAGTCTTACATTTGCCACTGAAACGAAACAAACCAAACATAGCATGAAGATATGATGAAAAACATACTTAAAAAATTGGACTGGCTTCATTCTTGTCTGCACTCTATCCGCGGATTATTACTAGGACCCGGACGATATGACAGTAAATATTTGGCATCAGAGATATTTGCTCAACTTCAACATCCGAATCATTTCCAGCTTCATAAATTCCTTCTTTGGTATCAGAGGTGATACTTGAAGACCTCTTATAATTTATAAATAGAATCGTTCCGGCTTCCTTTAAACACTCCGTCATTGATTCGTCTTTTAGGAACCTTGTCTGCCCTCAGCTGGTATCGCACGCGACAAACACAACATAAAATTCATTATAACGCCTGGATGCAACTATTCGAACTCCACGGATGTCCGTGTTGCATACTCACGGAATTGTAGGCGTTTTGAAACTCCGGTCACTCTCCTCTTCACCCGTGAATCCCGTGATGCAAGACAACTAGGCAACACAATCTTAGACAACACTAGACAACACACCTTATGCCTGCGTGCAACTTTTCTAATTTACCTAAGAGATGTCTTTGTAGTATTAAAGAAAAATGAAGAGTGATAATGACTCCCATAGACGGATGCTCTTTTAACCGTAAAATTCGGACACAGGTGGGCCATCGAGAGACGTTCAGTCATTTAGAATATCCATGAAGGTCATTGAGGGCTCTCTACTCTGACAAACACATTACAACCTTGCTGACCGATATTCTAATTCCGCGACTATCATGATGATGGAATTTTTGTCAATGGTCTAATTGCTGTCACCCTGAAATGCATTCATTAACAACGTCCATTGCTCCCCGAGAGAACTGGGTCATTCCCTACCTTAAATCGCAACGTATCAAAATTAACGCGTTTTCGTTTTCGACGTAATTTTTCTCTTGCAAAACTTGTTGGCTCACACACAGTGATGAAAAGTATGCCACGTACTTATGTTGTGAAATCCATCAAATTTTCTCGAGGGGGTTGAGTAGATTACTGGGGGATGGGAGAGATACCCTCCCGCTCCCCTTAGTTCCGTGCACGATCTTCAGTTAATGTAGTCCACTTCTGTCCTTAAATTTTAGCAAAGGACTCAGAGCTTCATACGTGAATGTATGAGCCGCTTTTACGGCGCGCTTGGGCGCTCTGCGACGCCTATTCGAGCTTCATATTTAAATGTAATTAACAGTTTTCTACGACTTACTCTTCCGTGCAGTTTCTCTGGAAGCACATAACTTTCGCTACATTGAAAAAGATGGTTCCCAAAGTATTTGCTGTTGGAGTATTGACATGCCTCAGGCACTTCTTGAAATCGGCATCACATTTACAACTTGACCTATAATCAACACATTATCCGAGTTAAATTACTGATATGCGATGTTAACATTCATAGGGAAAGGGAGCTTAGTCTACAAAATTGAAAAAAAAAGCACAGAGGAGTGTCCCACAAAATTTTTGGGTAAAAATGCTTTGCTTAGAGAGTGAAATAATCAAGTATAACACTGGTTGCGATAGATTGCATGTAAGGTAAAATTATTGCTGTTGCGTGGCAAGGTTGTACCGAGTGTTGCCTATTCACTAATTGAAGGAGCTCCTCCTATTGAACTTTATTACAATAAAATTGCAATCAGTTGACTTTTTTTTGCAGAAAAGCAGCAGATGATTGGTCCCTCAAACAGCTACGATTATTCCCAATTTCAAACATGAAATTGAGAGGGTGATGTGAGTCCCCCAAAAGTGCTACATACCTTATACCTATACGATTATCATTCGATTTGAAAATTCTCTCAACACTTAGTGCTCAGCAGAAAAATCATCTAAAATCCTTAGAGGCTATCAAAGTCTTTGGATGATTTCCCTGCTGAACATTCAGCACCTCGCACCCCCCTCACATTTTTGTCTGAAAATGGGAGTCGTAACTTTTCGAGGAACCAGTCAGCTACTGCTTAGCTTAAACCTAAAGTTTTCTTAGTACAATCGTTAAAATAGCACTAATGATTTTTTTTTTTTTTGTGTGTGCAAAATTTGGTAAATTCATTTACTGAAAAATTTGAACTATCATATTCATGACGTGCTCAAAAATAGAGCTATTTACTTAAAATTTTCACAAAATTCGCTTTGTAATTCCTTGTGATTCCTTGTAACCAATGTGAAATAAAAACGTTAATATCTTCGTTAGGAGTTGGTTTCAGTAATATTCGTTGCGCGAATCGTGTTTTGCGTGAAATTTTGGTTACGAAACATGTATCAGAATCCTTTAATTCGTACCTTGTCTAGTGGTCCATGCTCCAAAAATTTAAAATCTGTGACCACCTGTTAATTAAACGTATTTGTAGATTGAAAAATTGTCGTTGCTGACCTGGTGAAAGGAGATCGATTACAGACTCCATCGATGCATTTTCCGCTAGGCATGTCCTCTGGGCAGAGGTCGTGATCCCGACAACACTTGTCTTCGGCAGCGTACTTTCCTATATCCTCGTAACTGGATGCGATATTTCCAGGACCGCACCACTTCGTACCTGAAACAATCGTCAATCAAATACATTTTAAAGATAAATTTGCAAGTTGTTCAACGTCATTATATATGTGAGAGACAATATCAGTTGGATTGCATTTTGCAAAAAGGAACCACTAGCATTGCAATGATGCTAAGATTGTGCAACTTCATCTTTTGCAATAAAATTGCGGAAATCGTGAAAAACTATGAAATTTAGATGGTATTTTTGTCTTGAATTTACAGTTTTTAGCGAGTAAAATAGAAACTATTAATGGATAATCGGGTTTTTCCTCCAAGACAAAAGAAGTTGCACAATCTTAGCAACATTGCAATGCTAGTGGTTCCTTTTTGCAAAATG